TTATTTTGGATGCGATTAATCACGATTAATCGTTGCCCAGCACTATTAAAAACTCAACAATCAATACTTCAATAAAAAAATCAATTAAAAAAAAAGAGAAAAATAATCATAATTCCGAGATGGCAAATGAAAACCACTCACAAGTGATGAGGTGATGTGACAATGTTTAATATATCTATATATTAACATGGAATACGTTTTTGAATGTTGCATACTATTGTTTGAAATGTTTATTAAGTGTCAGAATTCATACAGTATTCAATAAATGCATGCAATTATTCCAAACACTATTAAACATTTTAAAAAAATTGCTGTAGAAATGCACTGTTTCTATTTTGTCTTATTAGTGACAACCCTGAAGTTTATTCCTACCCCTGAACCTAAAATCAGAGAGCAGTTTTTGGAATGTGAGTAACACACACACACACATGCAATCAAATGTGCAACCAACAACAGAATTACTGTCTGTTAATCCATGTCTTGTGTCTCTGGATTTCAGATTCGGGTCCCCTGACTCTCGACCTGAACACGGCTCAAAGAAACCTCAGCGTTTCCTCAGAGACTGGCGAGGTGACGTGCAGCAAAACCTCTCTATCCGTTCCTGACCACCCAGAGAGGTTTGACAGCTATTACCAGGTCCTGTGCAGGGAGAGCGTGTCCGGCCGATGTTACTTTGAGGCAGAGTGGAGCGGGAAGGGTCCCGTGCACATCGCAGTGTCCTATGAGGACATCAACAGGAAAGGAAAGAGCACCCTGTGTGCATTTGGACACAACGCCCAGTCCTGGAGTCTGGTGTGCTCTGAGGATACATATGCATTCTGGTACAATGGACGGGAAATTAAGATTCCCAAAATGCAGTGGGCTCGCAGGACTGGCGTTTATGTTGACTTCTCTGCAGGAATTTTGGCGTTTTACAGCATCACAGACTCAATAAATCTCATCTACAGAATTCGGACTGCATTCACTCAACCGCTCTATCCTGGATTCAGAATTAACACCGGGTCCAGTATGAGACTTTGTTATCCACTTTAATGGCATGAAATGGAGATTATTCAGTTATTTGAAACTTAAGAAATGAAGTATGAGAGGTCAGGCTCCATTGGTTAACATTAGTTAACTACATTAGCTCACATCAGCTAACAATAAAAAGTGCTTCTAAAGCATATATCAATCTTAGTTATTGTTAATTTCATAATTTACTAATATACTATTAAAATCAAAAGTTGTATCTGTTAAGATTATTTAATGGACTTGACTAACAATGAAAATCAGCATTTTTGTATTTGTATATATATCTGTATTTAATGTAGTAAATACTGTAACAAACACTCATTGTTAGTTTATGTTAGTTAACATGAACTAATGTTAACTAATTGTAAAGTTTTACATAAATGACCAACACACTCTTATGACAATTCGTAACCATTTTACATTTTGGCTAATTTGCGTCTAATTCATATCCTCTCATTTGAATGTTTTCATACGATCTCCTTATGTCCTACTGATAGATTGGGTTGGGGGGTAAACCTTCATGGTTAGTATTTTTTTTTCTGTACAAATCACATCATACAAATTCATACTGAATTGCCACCACATACAAGTTATGTTTTCTCTGCGAATGTTAAATTTGGCAGGTTGTGCTAACTGTAAAAAAAACTTACTTTAAGGTCCAATAAATTCTCACTATTAACAAACCATTAACTACGACTTTTGCCTCAGTACACTACTAATTTGCTGCTTATTAATAGTTAGTAAGGTAGTTGTTAA